ATGAACACCAACCAGAGCCGTGGTTCTGCATTTGAGAGACATCCTGTGGCCACTGCAGACATTGCAACATCCCTCTGCAGCTCGCTCTTCCTTGCAGAAGGGACTGACAACCCCTCTGTGTCCATCCATCCACCCATGCACCCACCCACCCCGACCCCTCTGGGCAGCCTCCAGCTCTTCAGCAGGTGCCCCAAGCCACTGGCCCCTGCGCTGGCTCCTCCGGGCACTGCAGACACGGGACAATTAAACACATGCTTTCAAAGTGTCTCTTGGCTGGGTAAACTGGGACGGGGAATAATTCTGTGCTTGTTTGGATTTGACTGCAGTGCTCACGCTGAGCTGAGGTCTTGGTGAGAGACACATCCAAGCAAACAGGACTTTATCTCAAGACAGGAAAATTACTGAAAACCATACGACTGCAACACCAGTAGCATTTCACTTTGTTTTGCATCCCCATATGCTTTAACAGAATGATTTTCGTGGTGAGATACTTAAGTATCTGATTTTTATTCACCTAATACATTCAGTGTGATCAGCAACTACAAGGAAACATGAACTGTATGAATATTTTGGTTTTATGCCCTGAATTTCATGGGTATTATTAAATGATAAGAGTATTAGTGGGGTGACTGAGAACTGCAACATTTCTATGCCTTGAAATTCCAGGCCATGGTTCCCACAGCAACCATCACCATGGCCACTCCGCATGAATTTTACATCCCAGTCTCTGAACAAAACGTTCCAAGTGCTCAACACACTTAAGCAAAAAGCAAACAAGCATTTTTTTTCCTGCAATAAATACCTTACCTGCTAAGTCACAACCACTAGAAGGTGTTAATAGCACTTGTAGGTACAGATGAACACCCAACTGGCAGTTAACGCCCTCAACATGGCTTCTGCGCAGATACTTACAGGATTCATAGTGTTGTATTGACACAGCTTCTGCCTTCAGTTATTGCTGGAATGAGAGCCCACTGTTTGTAATAAAACATTCTTAGAAGGCTAAAAAAGACCAGTTAAAGGTCTTTCAAATTCTTTTGCTTCAAATATGATTCTATTTCAATTTCAGAAGCATTGGGTAATGAGACTGTTTCTCCATGGTTTTGCTCTTTTACCCAGCCCCTCTACTTGGAGGCAGTACCTGGTAGTACCTTAAGAAGAGACCAGCAGGAACAGGAACAAGAAAACCACCAAGTTATCTGAATTAAGTTTAAGGGTTAGCTTTCTTCTGCTCCTAGTTTGTCAGAGGTAAGGAGCACACACACGAACAGTCACTGCATCTGTGTTGTGTTTCTTGGATTTCTCTCAGCTGCTGCTGTAACACAGGACACTGATGCGCCTTTGGTATGAAAAAACGGGATTTAAAAAAAAATTCTTGTTAATTGCACTAGGTTGAGCTTTTATCCAAAGCTTATGCAACTTCCTGTTGGATTACAGTTTCTTCTCTGAAGTGATGGAGTAATGGTCAGTAGTGAAATCAATGAAACAATGCACTACTACCAGAGGGAAAAATTCTGGTCAAAGGTGGAATTTTCACACCCACACATTGTAGGAATGTCAGATCAGGGGTTTAATTGGCAGCATCAGTAATTCATAATTACACAAGCCTATCTTTACAGGAAAGGTCCAGGGCTTTTCTAGGAAAACTTTAAAAAATGGTATTATATTGACAATTGGAAATAGGGGAAACTGCAAGTCTATACACTTAAAATGAAATAGTGAGATCAGCTTTCCAAAACTGTATTTAGTATTTCCTAAACATCTGCAATGTGAATTAGAAAACAAAATTGTACATTAGTATGAACCCCCCCGAACAGCAGAAATACCATCTTCTGCCAAGATTCTCTAAATCTTTAACCTTTCAGGTTACAAAGAAAAGACAGTCCTTGGACAGCTGATCACAGACTGCCCAGCAAGAAACATCCAACCACCTCACCCTCCGCATACAGAGAACAGCAGGACCAAAGTGGGTTTTAACTCAAAGCAGATGTGTACATACTGCTGCTCCAGACCAGGGCTCTACAGAGACAGTGATTCTCTGGGTTGGCTGCAGTCCTAATTAAATTTGCAACCCACAACACGGTGTATGACACAGCAGCTGTGGGAAAGACTGATTAAAAGCCTCTACATATTATCCCAATAGGTCAATCTAAGTGAATTGGAGACATCTGTATTTAAATTCCAGATCTGCTATAGTCTTTCCATGTGACTGGAGGGACTCCTGAACCTCTTAACATAAACACATTGATACTAATTTCAGGGTGTTTTTTTTTTCATTGTGGGTTTTTTTTATAATCTAATTTATCTTGACAAACAATGCTGCAATTAAAAAAAAAGCATACAGTATCCCACTATATCTGATCTTGAAATGTCACTGTAATACATTAGAAAAAGGTGAACCTTGCCCAAATCTGTACTAAAAATCCCTGAACCTGCAAAGATTGAACCAGATGCTGTAACTTGAATAAAAGCAGTACGCAAAACACTTAGACCAGCAGTACTAGCTGATCCTCTAACCCACCTTTCCGCACTTCTTCTCAACACAGTTGAGGACCTTAGATCTTGTAAGAAGGTAAAATAGACTGAAGTGCTTTAGAAAGCCCAAGTACAGGAAAGATTTGCATGAGAAAAAGTTTATCTAAACTTGTCTGTTCCTGCTCCGTGTCCAGATTTTCTTTTTTAATGTACGTATCTCTAAAACCTTTCACTTAAAGCAGTCAACCCCACCCAACCCAAACCCTGACGACATTTTTCTCTTGTCAGATGTAGTAACCAAGAGACCTCTTCAGAACTGGATGACATGGTTTTTGTGACACAAACCTTTAGTCACAAGCCCATTACAAACACTCCAACACACCATTCAGACCACACGTTCCAGGACACCAGTCGTGCCATTACACAAAGCTACTTCTCAGTTGCTAGACACACATCTCCAAACACATCGGTCTGCTGCTACATCCTCACCACACACTGACCTCCGATTATTTTTAGAACTTGTCTCTTAAGGAGAGAAAAAACAGCTGCAGTTCTGCAGAGTCGTATCAGCAGCGGTGCTGATAAACCTACGCAGATCTCCAAGGAATACGAACAAGTAAAAGGCCTGTGTTCAGGAAGAAGTTTGTCTTTGGTTTGGAGATCTAAAGAGAAGAGTTCTCCTTTCCAGGCAACTCCAAGAGGCTTGAACAGAAACATGCAGTACGCTAAAGAAACAAGGGTATATTCTTCCATCTTGGTAATTTTACAAGGCATTTGGGAAGGAAGGTGTTAAAAATTTGTTTCTGATTAAATTTTTTTTTAATATCTCAAATACAGATTTACTCTGAAAAGAACCTTTTGAGAACACTTTAAAATTTGTACTTAAGTATTTTTCTTAAATATCCAAAATATGATACTGGTGCACTTTCTAAAAACAAGTACATACTTAACAGGTGAAGTAGGAAGATAGTATTTCAGAAAACATTTAATATGAAACCTTTTGGAACTTCCATTGAATACAGATTTACATCATTTATCAGAACACTTTTTCAGCTCAGACAACAAAGTGCACTGCCGGGTGAAAAAAACACATTTGGAGGAGTGCTTAAAATGTAGGAAGTGAAAGGATAGGTGACCATTCACCTGAGAAAGTACAATGACTGCCCTGAAATGTCTTATTGCTATCACAAAATGGAGTTTTCATGGAAAAAACCATACTGAGCAGCACACAGGCAGAGCACTGAAAGCCAACTGAACTCCAGTAGCACTTGGAGTTCTCAAGCCATGGCGTGATACAGAATATACAGAGAATAAAATGCAAATTCAGGAATATTTACTACATTTAACAGCTATGATTACCCTTTAAACTAGCATAATCAATATCAATGCTCA